AGGCTGGACTCCGCCTGCCCACTTCTCCATTCCCTCCCTTTATTTTCATTTCTGACTTGGCTGCTCGGTGATCCAGAGGCCTGCATGGAACAGGAAGGTAGGCTCACACCTCCCGCGGTACTTTTCCAGGATGTCAAGGCAGTCTGCTCCGCCTGCAGGGCAATTTCCTTCTTGCTGCCCATGGCTTTGGAACCCACAGAGGGCCGCCAGGCGATGGCATCCAAGCAGCTAAAGAATTCGGGTCTATTGAGGTATAATTTAAATGCAGCAACACTCACCCGTCTTAGGTGTGCAGTTTTGAGTTTTGACAGATGTATACAATCATGTAACCACCACCCTAGTCAAGATAAACAATGTTTCCTTCACCCCCAAAAGTTTCCTTTAGTAGTCAATCCTTTCCTCTCCCCCCCTGACTCTGGCTACCACTTATCTGATTTCTGTCCCTATAGTTTTGCCTTTTCCAAAATGTCACATAAATGGAATCCATACATTTAAAAAACACATGTTTTTATTTATCTTAGAGAGGAAGGAGAGAGGGAGAGAAAAAAAAACATAGATGAGAGACATTTATTGGCTGTCTTCTGCATACCCCCTATTGGAGATCGAACTCAAAACCTGGCAAGTACCCTGACCCAGAATCAAACCTGCAATCTCACGGTGCACAAGATAATGTTCACCCAACCGAGCCAAACTGGCCAGGGCAGAATATACATTTTTTTAAAAAATATATTTTATTGATTTTCTACAGAGAGGAAGGGAGAGAGATACAGAGTTAGAAACATCGATGAGAGAGATGTTGCACACCTCCTACTGGGGATATGCCCGCAACCAAGGTACATGCCCTTGACCAGAATCGAACCCGGGACCCCCCAGTCCCCAAGCTGACGCTCTATCCATTGAGCCAAACCGGTCCCGGCCAGAATATACATTTTTGAGGGAAAAAAAAAAAAAAAAAAGTTGTGGCCGGGGCCGGTTTGGCTCAGTGGTACAGCGTCGGTCTGCAGACTGAAGGGTCCGGGGTTCGATTCCGGTAGGGGGCATGTACATTGGTTGCGGGCGCATCCCCGGTGGGGGTTGTGCAGGAGGCAGCTGGTCGATGTTTCTCTCTCATCGACGTTTCTGGCTCTCTATCCTTCTCTCCTCCTCTCTGTAAAAAAATCAATAAAAATATATTAAAAAACAACAACAAACAAAAAACATAGGCAAAAAAAAAAAAGTTGTGAATCTTTTAAAAACTCTTCTCAGAAAACCCTTTGGGAACTGAGTTTTAGGTGGTGATTCTTGGTGCACAAATGTTACTGGCCCTTCATAGGCAAATTTTGTTCCATAGCAGTGACATACATGCCTTGGTTTCTAGGTAGGTGGAACAAACGCCTGTTACTGTTGAATCTCTAAGCTAAAATAATCTCATCATGGCTAGCCCTGCAGATCACATTCTCTTCCATTTTCAAGTGAAAAAACCTGGTAAGTAATGGATAATAGAAATGAATTTAGGATCGAGGAAAGAGATTGAAATAAAAGCTCACTTGAGCTGTGGGTAAGAAGCAATGTGACATGTTTGTAACTCTCCCCTCCCCCCCAGGATTATTCATGTTCTAATAAATCAAATGAGGAAATTTTGTATTGTGAAGATAGCTATGAAGGACTAGTAGAGCATAAGAATGAAGAGTCAACTTTCCTTAGCTTTGATTTAACTGTTGACTCATATTGTGAGGGAGCGGCATGGTAATTGCTAGCACTAGAAGGGGATGGCTGTGTGCACTTCCTGTCAGGCCTGTGGTAGCTGACAGTGTGCATGGCAAAACAGGGCTGGGCATGGCATTCAGAACAAAATCTGGAGAGGTTTTGCTACTTGCTGTTGTGGGACCTTGAGTAAATCACAATGAACTATCGTTTCATTATCTCTTGCCCATTTTTCTACACAATTGGAGTTTTTTCTTTTCCATTTTTTCTAATTATTTTTAAAAAATATTTTATTAATATCAGAGATGAAGAATGAGAGCGAAACATCAGTGATGAGAGAGAATAATTGATTGGCTGCCTCCTTTGCACCCCACATTGGGGATGGAGCCCATAACCCAGGCATGTGCCCTGACCAGGAATCAAACTGTGATCTCCTGGTTCATAGGTCAAAGCTCAACCACTGAACTATGCTGACTGGGCCATTTTTTTTCTAATTCTTTATCCTTTATGACAGGCATCACAGGTAATTTTTGTTTTGGTTTTTATATCTCAGACTCTCTTCTGGTATTTTTATCATAATAAAGTTATACATATGGACAGAAAGGTGTCAAATTGAAAGCCATGTGATTGAGGCATTGTAGAAATGGACCCTCCTTCCCAGTGCCCAGCCAAATCCCAGCTGACTTGCTGACCAAAATCTGATAGGAGATAGAGTCAGAATCTCACAGCTAAGATGCTCTTGAATTCCTAATGTGAAAAACTGTGAGATAGTAAATGTTTGTTTTAAGCCACCAAGTTTTTTTTTTTTTTAAAGAATTTAACAGCAATAGATAAGTAATAAATCTATTAATTAGTTTTCCTGTGAGCAAAGCACATTAGATTTTAATATATTTGTATCTCTTGCTGCTCAGGGTCTATTCTTTGATTCTGTTCTGGCTCTTGGCTATGGTTCAGATAACTGAGGTTATAAGTTACTAGAGGCCCAGTGCACAAAATTAGTGCACTGGGGGAGGGGAGTGTTTCTCAGCTCAGCACCCTATTGCAGTCTGGGACCCTTTGGGAGATGTCCACCTGCTGTCTTAGGGCCTTAGCCGGGACTGAGACATTCCTTTCGTAGTTCAAGACCCCCTCACTCCTTAACGCCCATCTGCAGCTGAGGTGGGATTGCACTCCCCAGCCATGAGCCTGACTTCTGACTGAGCAGTGTTCCCCCTGTGGGAGCGCACTGACCACCAGGAGGAAGCTCCTGCGTTGAGCATCTGCTTCCTGGTGGTCAGTGCACGTTATAGCGACCCGTTGTTCCACCATTTGGTTGATTTGCATATTAGCCTTTTATTACATAGGATGATCTCTGGATACATGCATAAAGTGGTGTTGCATTATCATAGAGGTGCCTAAGACCCACATAGCAGTGTGCAGTTCTGGTGACTGCTCTGCATTGGTTAAGATCTAACCAAAGTGCATCACTCTGCTAGGTACTCCAGAACTTGACCATCTCTCAATGGGAAAACCACCTGACATAGAAACAAACATTTACACCTACAAACCATGGTGTTATTTTACAGTGAAAAGTGTGTCCTTTCTTAACTCTTCTGTGAATGATTTCTCATCTATGAAATGGCAATAGCTATTTCTACCTTATAAGATTTTGTGAGGATTATACAAAGTTCCTAGTGCCTCACACACAGAAAGTGCTTAGTAAATATTAATGTTATTACACCTAGGACTGAAGGACTGTTACTTCAGTCTCCCACGCTAGAATCTTTATTTATTTATTTATTTATTTATTTATTTATTTTATTTATTTTTAAATATATTTTATTGATTTTGTACAGAGAGGAAGGGAGAGAGATAGAGAGTTAGAAACAATGATGAGAGAGAGTCATCGATCAGCTGCCTCTTGCACACCTCCTACTGGGGATATGCCCGCAACCAAGGTACATGCCCTTGACCGGAATCGAACCCGGGACCCCCCAGTCCCCAAGCTGACGCTCTATCCATTGAGCCAAACCGGTCCCGGCCCACGCTAGAATCTTAACTCTTTCTTCTCGCTTGCTCTCTAAGTCACTCCCTTCTCCCTCCTCACCCCCCTCTCCACAGCTACTCCTAGTTCAGGCCCTCATTATTTCTTGCCTAACACAGTACAGTTTGCAGCTATCTAGTAAATCCTATCTTCCCCAAACCAGGGACACTTAAGAGTAAGTGGTTTGTACTTCTCCTCCCCAACCAGAGGATAAATAGCTTAAATCACCTACTCGGGAGACAATCAGCAGAAATCCAAATAGTGCCATTTGCCAACCACACCCAAGGACAGATGAAGTTAAAAGAATAAATCTCATGTCGGCAATCATAAAGCTGATGAATGTTATATTGAGATCCTCCCCTAACTAAACCCCTCAAAATGAAGGTCCAGCTCCATGCTCCCCTTCTTTCCTCACAGGCATGCACTACAGCCTTCTAAAGGACCCCGCGAGGCTTGGAACCAGGACAGCAACGGGCAGTGGCAGTTCATCTGGAACAAACTCCCTGAGCCTCTCTTCAAGGCCCCCTTTCTCTGATGTCTTAGTGAGCCAATGCAGTAGAGCCCAGGCTCATTTCCTCTGCCCTTCCTGCTTTCATGTCCCCACCTTTTTTTTTTTTTTTTTTTTTCAAGTCCTCACCTGAGGATAGGTATTCCATTGACTTCCAGAGAGAGAGAGAGAGTGAAGGGGGCGAGAAGAGGACAAGAAACATTGATATGAGACACATCCATTGGTTTCTCCTGTCATCCCCCACGATACGTGCCCTTGACCTGAAATCCAACCCCCGACTCTTCAGTGTTCGAGCTGACGCTCCAACCACTGAGCCCACCAGCCTGGGCCCAGCTTTAATAAATGTCCTCTAAAACTCACCAGGACTTGTGTTGTGAATTTTTTCCACAAACTACCGGCTGGCCCTAGGCTCACCCGCTTAGGGCCAGGTTCCCTTTTGGGTCACACCACAGGCCTGGGTGTGTATCACACTTTTACGCCGGCAGGTCACGGCCCAGAAGCATTCCTGCTTTTGGTCCAGTGTCCCGAGTGAGGGCTGCGCGGCTCTCCTTTAATGCGGCGGCGACAGCCCTCGTCCTCAGAGAGTGGCCTGGGTGGGGACAGGGCTCTGGAGGCGGCGCTTGCAGGCGGCCGCACCCCGCCTCTCCCCCTGGAAGGCACCAGCCAAGGCTCACCAGCCGGTTCCCGGAGCCGGCGGTGGCGGTTCGACCTCAGAGACACAGGCCTCCGTCCTCAGGCCCGGGACGATCGCGGGCGGCCCCAGGGGGTCCCGGAGCGCCGGACACCATGAGCGGTTACCTGCGCTCCGGCTCCAGCAACTGGCGGCGGGCGGCCACCCTGGTGCTGGCGGCGGGCTGGGCGCAGCCAGGCCCCGGGGCGCCGCCGCTGCCGCCGCTGCCGGCCGAGGGCTTCCGGCTGCTGCTGCTGCAGCGCTCCCCGCGGCAAAGCTTCATGCCCGGGGCGCACGTCTTCCCGGGCGGCGTGGTGGACGCGGCGGACCGCTCGGACGAGTGGCTGCGCCTCTTCGCGCCGCACCACGGGCCGCCGCGCTTCGGCCTGGGCCCCGCGCCGCCCTCGCCCGCCGCCTTCCCGGTGCTGCCGGCCGCCGCGGAGGACGGCGCGGGGCTGCCGGACGACGTGGCCTTCCGCATCTGCGCCATCCGCGAGACCTTCGAGGAGGCGGGCGTGCTGCTGCTGCGGCCCCGCGCCGCCCCGCCGCCCGCCGCGCCCGCGCCCGGCCGCGCCCTCCCGCCGCCCGCCGGCCTGGCCGCCTGGCGCGCCCGCGTCCGCCGCGACCCGCGCCACTTCCTGCGCCTGTGCGCGCAGCTGGACTGCACCCCCGACATCTGGGCGCTGCACGCCTGGGGCGCCTGGCTCACGCCCTTCATCCGGCCCGGCGGCCGCCGCTTCGACACGGCCTTCTTCCTGTGCTGCCTGCGCGACCCGCCGCCCGTCTTCCTGGACCTGGATGAGGTGGTGGGCAGCCAGGTAGGGCGTCCTCCCCGCTGACCAGAATCGAACATGGGACCTCTTAGTCCGCAGGAGCCACGCTCTATCCACTGAGCCAAACCGGTTTCGGCTAATTCCGTTTCCTTTTAAAGGTCATTGAGACTTGCTTTATAGCCACATATAGGGCCTATTTTGGTGGGTTGTGTCCTTTGCTTCTAAAATGAATATTCTGCTGTTTGAGGGAGTGTTTGTAAAAATTGACAATTAGGTTAGATTTCTCCATAGTGTCTTTTAGGTCTTCCCATATTTACTGGTTCCATCAAATACTGAACTAAGAGAGGAATGCTTAAATTTTCAGCGAATGGTTGTATTTTTTCAGTTTTATAAGGCTTGACAAGGATAGGACTGGCCAGGTCTGGATCTAACCCAATTGGGGTGGGGTGTGGTGGGGAGGCGGCGAGGCCGGGTCTGGGTTTCACGCGATTAAAAATTAAAAAAAAAGTATATTTTTTATTGATCTTTCATAGAGAGGAAGGAAGAGGGATAGAGAGTTAGAAACATGGATCAGCTGCTTCCTGCACCACTGGGGATGTGCCTGCAACCAAGGTACATGCCCTTGACCAGAATTGAACCTGGGCCCCTTCAGTCCGTAGGCCGTCGCTCTATCCACTGCTCTATCCACTGAGCCAAACCAGTTAGGGCTGTACAATGATTTTAAGGTCCTTTTCTGCTATTTTCATTATCTCTGTAATATTTGGGGTCTGTTTCTGTTGACAGATTTTTCCTCTAGTTATGGGTACTGTTTTGCAGTGGGTCTTGCAATTTTTGGTTGAATGTTGGGAATTGTGATTTTGAGTTGGGTACTGGATTTTGTCAAATTCCTTTAAGGATTGTTAAGTTTTCTTGGCAGGAACTTAAGCTCTTGCAAATTAACTTGATCCTTTTGGAGTTTGTTACTTTAAGTGGTCTTAGGGTAGGTCTATGGTAGTCTATTCTAGGGCTAATAGCTTCACTTATAATGTGTGCCCTCTGGGGGTCTACTGGATGGATAACTGTAAATTCAACGAGATCTCTCCACAGGGGTTGAGGGAATTTGAAATACTTCTGGCCTAAGGTGAGCCCTGGAATTGTTGGTCTTAAAGCTCTCAGGTAATTGTTGTTTTCTTAAAATTTGTTCTCCAAAGTCATGTGGTTTCACTTTATGCATATGTTGATTACTGTTTAGTGAAGACTCCAGAGCTCCCTGTACACATTTCAGGAGGTCTACATTGTGTGGATCCCTCCCCTCAGGTACATTGCCTTCCCAATTCTCCCCTGTATTTGTCTTTCCAAACTCTGGTCCTTGTCTGTTCACGTCAGTGAAAACCTACACATTAGCTTCCCTTCTTGGTGCTGTGGTCTGGGGATCACCTTTAGGAAAGAAGCCTTGGCCACTCTTGGAACTTTACTGAGTTCACCTAATTTGTTTTCTTTCCTCACATACAATTCTTCATTTCTCAGTGTTCAAAACTGTGATTTTATAGACTTTGTCCACTTACCTATTTTTTTTCTTTAAATATATTTTATTGATTTTGTACAGAGAGGAAGGGAGAGAGAGAGTTAGAAACATTGATGAGAGAGAGTCATCTATCAGCTGCCTCTTGCACACTCCCTACTGGGGATATGCCCGCAACCAAGGTACATGCCCTTGACCGGAATCGAACCCAGGACCTTCCAGTCCCCAAGCTGACGCTCTATCCATTGAGCCAAACCGGTCCCGGTCACTTACCTATTTTTTACATTATGTTGGGGAAAGGTAATATAGAAGAGGAGGTTCCAATAAATAATTCTTACCCTGGTCTAGTCTAGTGGTTCTCAATAGGGGATTTGTCCTCTCCACACCCAGGTACATTTGTCAATGTCTGAAACATTTTTAGTTGTCACAACTCAGGGACTTCTGGGGGCTTTTACTGGGTGGAGCCTAGGTATGCTACTAAATATCCTTTGGTGCACAGGACAACCTCCCACGACAAAGAGTTATTTGGTCTAAAGTATCAACAGTGCTGAGGTTTCAAAGTGGAAACAAAGGATTTGAGCAATGCTTTACTAGTAGCAAGTAACCAATGAAAGGTAAATTCTTTTAACTTATGGTTTGAACTAACTGGAACAGGTTGGATTAAGTGGGTTGATGCTTATTGTTTAACCCTTCATCTTGATTATTGTCATTGAACTCACATAGAACTGACAAAGCAGAATGCTTTGTAAATAACTTAAAGATTGGGTGGTCCCTTGAGGTCCTAGGTTGGTTTACAAAATAATAATTGGTTTACAGAATAATCTGGGATTCTTGCTAAACAGATTTCTGGGCCCTAGAGACTGAAGTTTTAACAAGCTTCTTAGGGGATCTTGAAGCATATACGAGCTTGTGAACCTTTGGCTCATAGTTATCCAAGGCAGAAATCAATGTCAACTCCCTGGGTTTGGGCGTGGGAATCAGTTTTCCCCAGCATAAGCGGATATTTTGTAAGCTAGTTAAAGAAAGACCTTTTGGGGTTATTCCATATTCATTGAATCAGCAGCTCTTTTTGTGCAAATGTGTATGGAAGGAAGGCTCCGGAAGGAGGGTAAGTCACTGCACTGAGACAACATAAGTTAAATGGGCAAACACTGGCTGATTGATGCCCTGCTTTTATTACATTCCTGGGACCTTCCTTGAAAGCTCCTACTGCTCCTTACTTTTTACCCCCATTATGACATGAAGTACATATCATGTTCCATTTTGGTTTCTGGAGACCCCCCAGGGCCTGAGAGAGCTTTGTCTGTCACTACCACATCCTCCCGGCCTGGCCAAAGCACCTATTTATGGGAGAAACAAATGGATACTAAATTCTCAGTTTGCTGCCATGAGTTTACACTTCACAGTCTTCTTAGACCAGAACTGCTTTGCCTTCTCAGTATCACCTGCCCTTTATGCTGAATGACTCTCAACCCTGGTGATCTATGCTGGTTTATTTACTAGTTCTCAGGGTCAGTATTCCAATAATAAACTCTTAAGGGGATCAACACAGCTTTCTTTATCAAACCTTTTCATGTTGTCTCCAAGTAATCTAGCAAGGCACATTAATGAATTAACTTTATATATTCAATGAGACATTAGGTACTGAACTAACAATCTCAAATCTTGTATTATTTATGGAATAAACCTTAGGAAACCATACCTTTGTCTTCCCCAGTGGTCATCTCCGTCAGAGGCAACTGAAAGTTTCATATCAAAAGAAATTTGGTTGGCACCCCCGCAGTTCTATGAAATAAGAAGACTGGAAAACTTTGCCTCTCTCTCGGAACTGCACAAGTTTTGTTTGGATCATGTATTAAAAGGGGTAGAAAGATGGATGCCGATCGTGTTATTAACTGCTGATGGGCAAATCTCACTTTTACCAGGTAAAATCAGCGAAGCTTCAATACTTTAATTAGTATTTGTATTTAATTCACTGGGCTATATTGGCAGTATTGCCCAAAAGAGAGGACATGATCTATAGTCTGTTTTATACACCACAGAAGTATTAATGAAATAAGACCAAAGTCTATAAAATATCCATAGTATTTATTATAATCTGGAGTTCTGAATAAGTTACTTTATATATACACATACACATTTATGTAACTATATTTTCTAGACATTGACAAAGTTCTTTCATGTTATTTCACTTTTTTACATTTTAATTTTGAATTATGAGAACTTGTAAATTGTCATCTTATTTGAATTAGGGAGTTTGTTGGTGGTCAGTTGATGGGCAAATATAAGATGGAGGTTTTGTGACAGTTTAGCATTGGGCTTTGTGGCCTGTCTTATGTATGGCTACCTGTCTCAGTTCTCACAATAGTGATACTATTTGTTACTCATCCTACTGTGGGAGAATTTAGCAATATTAATGTATAAATGATAATTTTTCTGATTTTAAAATTATTATAGCATTCCACATTGAGACACAAAAATATGTATGGACAAGGCCAATATTAATATTGACCATAATAAAGAGAGTCATGAACTATTGATATATAAAAGTTATAATTTATGATGAAAAAGTATCAGTCATAAATACTCATGTGCCCAAAGAAAGTTTTTGGCTAGGGAATGGGAAGTTAGGGAGTGTGGGTATTAAAAACACAAGAAAGAGTTCAAAACAAAGTTTTAGCCCTAAACACACACACACACACACACACACACACACACGAAAGAAATTGAGATAAACTGATAAGATTAGGGTTACTTATTATCTTAGTTCTAAGCACATGAAACAGATTAAAAAAACTGATTTATATGTCACTAATATATTGGAATAAATATATATGAAAATATATATATATTGGAATATATATATGAAAATAACACTGTGAATTAAAATATTTTTCAGGAGATGAGCTGTACTTAGAAGATTCAAACTTCTTAGAAAATAATTTGTCCACTGAAAAAAAGACTGAAGAAATCATGAAGGAAGGCAAGAAATTTCACCGCATAGTGATGTACAGTCGCCATGTTTATAGTATTCATGTGACTGTTCAGTCAAAGTATAAACATGTTTATCCCAAGACTTATGTAATAAGTAAGAGCCATTTGTAGTGCATTGTTTACTTGTAAGCTGGCCTACTTGAAGTTGTCCTAATAAATAATGAAGGATAAATAGACTTGCTTGGAACTTAAAGGAACTTTGTGCCTAAACTGAAAAAGTTATAGTACAGTGTTTTATATTTCAAGTGTATTATGGAGCTCTCTTGTATATTTTGTCTAAACTTTACAGTGTCACACAAGTATAAAGTATTAATGATATTTTTACTAAAATGAGAAGAAAAATTTCACAAGGGTTTTCACTTCAGTATTGTTTTATTATTAAAAGTTTAAATAAACTGTTCTACTGCCATTGTTTTTTAAATGTCCAGTGTATTAGCACTTTCTTTGATGTGTTTAGGAGATTAATCCATGAATTCCTTAGACTGTCTGCTAGAGTTAATTTAAGGGTGTCTGATTACATGATGAACAATAGACTTATTTAACCTTTTAGTGAAATTGTCATTATTTTTTAAAATACATATTTTTAAAATATTTTATTGGTTTTTTACAGAGAGGAAAGGAGAGGAATAGAGAGTAAAAACTATTTTTTTTTTTTTATTGGTGTCAGAAAGGAAAGGAGAGGAGGAGAGAGAAAGAAACATTAATGATGAGAGAGAATCATTGATTGGCTGCCTGCTGCCCACCCACACTGGGGATTGAGCCCTTGAATGGAATCAAACGAGGGACCCTTTAGTCTGCAGGTCTAAGCTCTATCCCCTGAGCCAAACCAGCTAGGACATTGTTACTTTGTTAGTCTTTAGCTTGATGATAAAAATACAGTTCTGGCTCTCTTTCTCCACCATCACCATCGAGGTGCCTGCGTTCGCCTCTCCTTCACCATGTCTTCCCACAAAACTTTCAGGATCAAGCTGTTCCTGGCCAAGAAACAAAAGCAGAATCGGCCCATTCCCCAATGGATTCGGATGAAAACTGGTAATAAAATCAGGTACAACTCGAAGAGGAGACATTGGAGAAGAACCAAACTGTGTCTATGAGAACTCACTCATGAGAGATGACTCACATATTTATGCTGTATCCAGGTTGCCTACACCTTTAAATGATTGAAAAGATGCTACTGTCTGGACAGTTGGAGCATTTAAATTGGAGAATTAATGGACTTGTGATTTTACTCTGTTGATTCACCCTGCCCCCCACAATAGTAGGATGGTTCAGTAATAAATGTGTGAGATCTTTTTTTTTTTTTTTTTTTTTTTTAAATATATTTTATTGATTTTATACAGAGAGGAAGGGAGAGAGATAGAGAGTCAGAAACATCGATGAGAGAGAGTCATCGATCAGCTGCCTCTTGCACACCCCCTACTGGGGATATGCCCGCAACCAGGGTACATGCCCTTGACCGGAATAGAACCCGGGACCTTTCAGTCCCCAAGCCGACGCTCTATCCATTGAGCCAAACCGATCCCGGCTGTGTGAGATCTTTTTTAAAAAAAAATAAATATACAATTCTGTTGAAAACCAAATGGCATTAAATTATTAGGTTTACCAAATTGGGAATCTGTCTTAATTAATATTTTAGAGAAATATGATGCCATGTCAAAAGCTATAACTAGTTTTACTCTGGAGTTCTAGTTAATGAAACAGGTTAGCGAGATGTAGAATTAACATTTAATGGTGTTTATTAATGTTTATTTTTAGTATTTTTAATATGGGTAACTTTTCCACCTTCTCCTAAGGGGAATAATATTTATTGATTAAAGATGGGAAAGACCTAGCTGGTTGGTCTTTCACCATCTATTGAAGAGAGTGTCTTGACTCCATTGTATGTTCGTGCCTCTTTTGTCAATATTAATTGAGTGTAATGATTTAGGTTAATTTCTGGGGTCTTTGTTCAGTTCCATTGATTTATATGCCTGTTCTTGTGCCAGTACCAAGCTGTTTTGATTATGGTGGCTTTGTAGTATAACTTGAAATCTGATATTGTGATTCTTCCAACTTTGTTCTTCTTTCTCAGGATTCCTGCAGCTACTAGTATTTGGGGTCTTTTTTTAGTTCCATATAAATTTTTGGAGTATTAGTTCTAGATCTGTGAAATATGCCATTAGTATTTTAATAGGGATTGCATTCAATCTGTAGTTTGCCTTGGGTAGTATAGACATTTTAATGATGTTTATTCTACCAATCCATGAACATGGGATATTCTTCCATTTGTTTATACCTTCTCTTTTTTTCAATGCCCTGTAGTTTTCTTTTCCTTCCTTCCTTCCTTTCTTTCTTTCTTTCTTTCTTTCTTTCTTTCTTTCTTTCTTTCTTTCTTTCTTTCTTTCTTTTAAAATATATTTTATTGATTTTTCACAGAGAGGAAAGAAGAGGGATAGAGAGCTAAAAACATCGAGAGAAACATCGACCAGCCGCCTCCTGCACACCCCCCACCGGGGATGTGCCCGCACCCAAGGTACATGCCCTTGACTGGAATCGAACCCGGGACCCTTGAGTCCGCAGGCCGATGCTCCATCCACTGAGCCAAACCGGTTTCAGCCACCCTGTAGTTTTCTGAGTACAAGTCTTTTATGTCCTTTGTTAAGTTCATTCCTAAGTATCTTAATTTTTTTGTTGCAATGATAAATGTTGCAATGTTTTTGTTTGTTTTGTTTTAGTTTCTCTTTCTGATAATTCATTATTCTATATAATAAAAATCTAATGTGCAAATTGTTCCCTTGACTGGGAGTTCTGCTGGGAGTTTGATCACTTGCTATGATGTGCGCTGACCACCAGGGAGCAGCGTGGAACATGGCAGGTGTTGGTGATGTGGCATAGGCAGTGGCCAGCAGTGGAGGCGCTGCACGATGAGAGTGGGCTTGAGGCAAAATGGTGGAGCAGGTGAGTGGGCTGCACCAGGCCAAGGCGGGTGTGAGCCACTGGTCACCAGGTGGGGCGATTGCCCCCCTGATCCGATGGCCACACCACCACCGGGCTCCCAGGCTCTGAGTGAGTTGAGGAGGGGCCTGATGCAGGGTGACCAGCAGTGGTGGCAGGGAGTGAGGCTGCTGCCCGGCTCATTCAGTGCCTGGGAGCCGGGCAGAGTAGGGTGATTGGCGGAGTGATCAGGCCCCACAGGCAGCAACCAGCAGCAGTGGCGGGGGCAAGGGCAGGTGGCAGGGGGAAGAGAGAGAGTACCCGACCAGCAGCCAGAAGCCACTAGGGAAACTACCAGTGGAAGAATTTTGTGCACTGGGCCTGTAGTTGGTGTATAAAAAAACTCAATTTTTGGGTGTTGATTTTGTATTATGCTACATTTCCAAATTAATTTATTAAATCTAGTTTTTTGGTAGAGTCTTTAAGGTTTTCTATGTATAATATTATGTCTTCTGCAAATAATGAGAGTTTTACTTCCTCCTTTCCAATTTGGATGCCTTTTATTTCTTCTTGTCTGATCATTGTGACTAGGACTTCCAGTACTATGTCAAACAGGAGTGGTGAGAGTGGACATCCCTGTCTTGGAAATGGTTTTAGTTTTTGCCCATTGAGTGTCATGTTCACTGTAGATTTGTCATATATGGTCTTTACGATGTTGAGATATGCTCTCTCTATTCCCAATTTGTTGAGTTTTTATTTTATTTTTATTTTTTAATAAAAAATGGGTGTTGGATTTTGTTGAATGCTTTTTCTGTGTCTATTAATATGTGATGTATCATGTGATTTTTGTCCTTCAGTTTATTTATGTGATGTATCACATTTATTGATTTGTAAATATTGTACCAGCATTGCATCCCTGGAATAAATTCCATTTGGTCATGGAGTATGATTTAAAAAAAAAAAAATATTGCTGGTGCCGAAACCAGTTTGGCTCAGTGGACAGAGCATTGGCCTGCGGACTGAAAGGTCCCGGATTCGGTTCCGGTCAAGGGCATGTACCTTAGTTGCAGGCACATCCCCGGTAGGGGGTGTGCAGGAGGCCGCTGGTCGATGTTTCTCTCTCATCTACGTTTCTAGCTCTCTATCCTTTTCCTTTCCTCTCTGTGGAAAATCAATAAAATATATTTAAAATATTATTTTAAATATATGGATCTGATTTGCTAATATTTTATTGAAGATTTTAGCATCTATGTTCATCAAATGATTTTGGTTTGTAATTCTTTTTCTTTTAGTGTCTTTATCTGGTTTTGGAATTAGGATTATGCTGGCCTTGTAAAAAGAACTTGGAAGTGTTCTTTCCTCTTGGATTTTTTTGAATACGTAGTTTGAGAAGTGTGGGTATTAGTTCTTCTCTGAATGTTTGGTAAAACTCCCCTGTGAAGGCATCCAGACACGGGCTTTTGTATGCTGGAAATTTAAAAAAAATATATATTTTATTGCCTAAGCCGGTTTGGCTCAGTGGTAGAGTGTCAGTCTGCAGACTGAAGGGTCCCGGGTTCAATTCCAGTCAAGGGCATGTACATTGGTTGCAGGCACATCCCCGGTGGGGTGTGTGCAGGAGGCAGCTAGTCGATGTTTCTCTCTTATCGACGTTTCTAGCTCTCTCTCTCTTTCCCTTTCTCTCTCTGTAAAAAATCAGTAAAATATATCTATCCACTGAGCCAAACCGGTTTCAGCTGGAAATTTTTTTATTACTGCTTCTATTTCATCAGTTATTGGTTTAGTCAGGTTTTCTGATTCTTCCTGATTCAGTTTTGGGAGATAGTATTTTTTTTCTATGAATTTGTTCATTTCATACAAATTGTCCAGCTTGTTGGCATATAGTTGTTCATAGTATTTTCTTTCTTTTAAAAAAAAATATATTTTATTGATTTTTTACAGAGAGGAAGAAAGAGGGATAGATAGAAACATTGATGAGAGAAAATCATCGATCAACTGCCTCTTGCACACCCCCCACTGGGGATGTGCCTGCAACCAAGGCATATGCCCTTGACCGGAATCGAACCCGGGACTCTTCAGTCCGCAGGCCGACACTCTATCCACTGAGCAAAACTGGCTTCGGCTGTTCATAGTATTTTCTTAAAATCCTTTGTATTTCTTTAAAAAGAATTTTTTTTAATTGATTTTTTTACAGAGAG